TCGAAACTAGTCAGCCAAGCGTGACGTGGGCCTGTTCCATTAATGATGGGGGAATCATTTTTCGCTGCAGTCCAATGGTGAACAATGCTTCCAGTGCGTCTGCTAATTTTTAATGGTCAGGGTACCGCGAAAACAAGCCCTATGCTAGGCATTATAGGCTAGGCTTATGTGGGCTGAGATTTGCAACAAGGTCTTGGACTAGGCCTCTATACCATAGTAGGAGGCCTGGTCCTAGTCTAGGCCTATAATATAGTAAAATTCTGTATAAGTAGTCATTTGATTACAGGTTTACATTGTACCAAGGTCAATATTAAAGATCGCATTTATTTTTCATTGAAAATTATTTTAAAAAAAAACTTAACTTAAGGATTTTAAAATATTCAAAAAAACTGTACACTTCAAAAAATAAAAATAAATTAAAGTTAACTTAACACAAACAACGCGATAGGATATGAAGTTTGCGAGAATAATTTGCATACTTGTACTGTATTTTCTGAAGCGCCGTTCGTTTTGTGGTTGCTACAATCTGCAGTTGTTACAATCAGTGGCGTCACACTCGGGCGCTGACGGAGGGTGGGGGGCGCCAGGGCCCCAGGCGCGAGGGGCCCCGACATTGTAGTTTAAAAAAATATAATATAAACTATAATACTGTAGTTTCGTTCAATGGGGCCCCGACAGTTTTAAACAATAAAAGCTGGGTTCTGATGTTTGAAATCATGCTTCTGATTTTGTGATCAATTTGCTTTGCATTGTATATTGGCCCTACGTTATCAAAACAGGTTTAGTTCTCACTAAAATTGGCCTATTCTCTGTATTTATTTACACCCAGAGTACATAGGGCTACTGAAGGCATACCAGTCCGAAAGTCATGTACCATCTATGCTCTCTAACAAGAGAGTTAACAGTTAATTTTTCAATCTCCAGCAAATTTAAATAGCATCCAATCCTCCTTTTTGGAATGTAAAGAAATAGATAGTGCTTTTCCTTTGTTGGATCAATTGTAACTCCTGATTGTAGCAACCCCAAAACGAATGGCACTTCAGAAATACAGTACATTATACCAAAACTTCTCTCAATCTTTATATCCTATCGCATTGTTTGTGTTTTAAGTTAACTTTATTTATTTTTTATTTTATTTATTTTTTTAAGCATACAGGTTTGGAATATTTTAAAATCCTTAAGTTAAATTATTTAAAGTTTTCTTTTATTTTCAATGAAAAATAAATGCGATCGTTAATATCAATCTTGGTACAATGTAAACCTGTAATCACATGACTACTTATACAGAATTATATATATTATAGGCCTAGACTAGGACCAGGCCTCCTACTATAGTATAGAGGCCTAGTCCTCCTACTATAGTATAGAGGCCTCGTCCAAGACCTTGTTGCAAATCCTAGCCCACATAATAATGCCAAGCATGGCTCGTGATCGCTGTAGCCTGACCATTAAAAATTAGCAGACGCACTGGGAAGTGTTGTTCACGGCATTGGACTGCAGCGAAAAATGATTCCCCCATCATTAATGGAACAGGCCCACGTCATGCTTGGCTGATTAGTTTTGATTTACATTTCGCAAGTCTAGTGCTATACGCAGCAAAAGTCTATTTCTAGCGTTGTTGTAAATTGCATTTCAAACCAGGCTGGTTTTTGATTTACGTTTTGAAATACATTTTAAAGAAATTAGAACTACATTTGGAAAAATTTAAACTACGTTTTGAAAAATTTGAACTTCATTTTGAAAAACTAGATCTACATTTTGAGATATTTACGCCTACGTTTTAATAAATTAGACATTGAATTTTGCAATTACATTTTGATTTTAACATGGACTTTTGCTGCGTATGGCACCCCATACTGGATAAGATATGGGCAGGCATAATTTGGTGTTTAACTTTTTATTGTGGTATACATGTAGAATTTTTTTTAATTAATCAAAAATGCTGTCCTAAACAAGGACAGCATCTAAAACTTTGTTATAATTTGATTGCTAATCATACATTTGTTTGTTTTTTTTAATTTGTTTATTTACCATTTTATTCATTTAATCAGACATTACATTCAAAATGAAAATAAACAAAAACAATTAAATAAGTGACCCTTTTTTTAATACTTAGAGTAGTATACATATAACAACATTGAACATTTTTATAAATTCTTTTACTAGTGAAAATATAATATTGTATTTCATATTCAAAACTTGTACCATTACGTTAGGTGAACTATTTATATACCAGAAGCCAAGGTAAGGCCATGACTTGAAACATTTAAATATTCATTATTTATTTGAAGCTTTGAAAAAGAACATGCAGTGAGGACCAAAATGAAAAGAATTTCTCTTGATACATACATTTGTTTTTATATTATCTGGCATTACAGATAATAAGTAAAATACAGCATATATATATATATATAGTGACCCTTTTTTTAATACTTAGAGTAGTATACATATAACAACATTGAACATTTTTATAAATTCTTTTACTATTGAAAATATAATATGAAGTAAACTATCGCAATTATTACAAGCAGAGTGCTCAATGGTAGACCAGAGCGGATATAAATACATAAAAGGCGAGGTTCAACAGTAGCTTTGATTAGACATTTTATTACTACTTAGTTTCGTACCAGACACATGGTGTGCCTATAGGCTACTACTACTAGGCTAGGCCAGGCCTACTATTACTTCTGACTCCAGAGGCCTGAGCCATTCTCCTGGAAAGTTGTGATGTTGTATTTGTAATGGTATGCATCTAGTCTAAGCTTAATTGGTTTTTGCCATTAACAAAATTAGTCTTACTAGGGTCTATTCTAAATATTTTAGGCCCGTTTTATTAGGGAGGACTATTTTTAGTCATTCTTAACTTGTCGACGCGAGTGACTCAGTTTCGTGGCTCCAAAAATATAAACATTTGATTGGTTGAAATTGTTTATTTCGGTCCGCCTATTTATCCAAATACGGAATATAAGATTACGTCATTCTTTTGGCATCCTGGTGCCTGCATTTAGTGTTTTACAAGTCTCTTATTCCGATTCGACTCTAAATTAACTCTTTCGTTGGTGGCGCTGTCCAGAATGAGAAAAATAATTAAAAAATAAGAGACTTGTGGCAAGTCTATTAGTGGGTGTAAGAATCACTGTAACACTAAAGCGGCCCAGGAATAACAAGTAGTATCATATATCACTTGTTCTCGACATGCATGAACGGCATTAATTTAGAATTAACTTTAAAATGTTTAATTTTTTAAAAATATAGGTAACATGACTGCATTCAGCGAATCAGTATGGTCTCCGGACAAAGGAAAGAACAATGGAAGGGACATGCAGTGGGGCGGGGGAACTCTCTTTGTTGACAAAAAAGAACTGACTGACACCAACACTGGTGGACGTAGAAAACTGGCTGTACGTAAGACAATTCCAGTTGTGGACTTGTCTAGATGGATAAAGGAAAATACCAGAAAAGAAGACTATGTGATTTTTAAATTAGACGTTGAAGGAGCTGAATATAGAATTTTAAAAAAAATGCTAGAAGACGGAACCTTTGCATGGATCGATAAGTACAATATGCATTACTATTATTATTTAAAGTTTTACTGCTTTTTATATTTTTTAGATATACCATATTTTCAATTATATGAATTCTAAATAATTTTCATTTTTTGTTATTTATTATTAATAATAGGCCTAATTGCTTATATTATAATTCATATAATTGTTGAAATAAAGTTATTTAAAATACATTATAGTCATGCTTATTGAATGATTCAAGTTTTAAAAATAATTCTATCTAGAAATTAGTGATCCCTACTATAACTTAGGATAGGGGCTACTAATATATAATTACAACACAGTACTGTACAATTATTAATACACTTAATTATTAATATAACAATAAAATATTTAATACCATACTGTATATTATAATACAGTACAATTAATATATTGGCCTTGTAGTTTTGCAGGAACAAATTCATACAATTGTAATGCCATGGCTAGCCGGTCGGCATAATTACTCGGTAACTGGGAACGCTATTTTAAACAGTGTCTATATATTTTGATACTGTATGAATATATATTTTTTTAAAGTTTAATTAATTTGTATTTTGAATTTTCATTTGTAGCCAATGAATTTTATATTTCAAATTGTTGATATTTATTAATGCTGATGTTGCTTGCAGTTTCTTGTTTGTTTGAATGGATTTGATGTATTTGGTTTCCTTTAATTTTTGTACTGCAATGATTTCAAACTTGTTCTGCTTTTTGTACTTTTTACCGTATACCTGAATAAATAATAAAAATACATAAATAAAAATTTATACCACAATACTGTTTATGTGGCCGGGGATATTATCCTAACAGTCGAATGGCTGGGGACATAACTGTCGTAATTTATTGTCTCTGTGTCACATGACTATTTTCGTTACAGTTATGTGGCCTAATGGTATTTGGCCGGGTAATAAGCAATTATTTTCACTTAATGCGTTTTGTTTTCACAGGTATTACGGGGAATACCATAATAGTCAGCCAGTTGGGCTCTCTAGTGGTGAGAAAGGCAAAATAATCAATAATGTAAAGACTAAAGGGAAAAAAATGTATGATTGGGGAGCAGAGATAAGGAATTACGCAGATTTTGAAGCTCTCCATCCAACAAAGGCAAGTTTTTTACAAGACACAAGCTTCCTTTGTTGTCAAAAGTTTGTTCTGATTATATATTTTTTCACCTATATCTTGACCATAGAAGTTCTCCAGTCTTTCAGTATTAGTAAATGAGATGATGAAAGTTGTTGGTGGTGATAATGACGCCGACAGCAGGCCCGTAATCAGCTTTGGTAATGGGGGGATCTTTTTCAATTTGAGTGGAAGATTTGGGGTCCAGGGGTTCTCTCGAAAAATGTTGAAAACCATTCCAAATGCTCTGCTGTTTTTGACTTGTTTTCAAATAAATTTTCGTGAACTGAATCAGGTGAGTAGCAATGGCTTTATACAAGGGGAGTCCAGCGAATATATTTTTAGTGAAGAGAAAAGAATAGGCATGCTAATAATATTAACCCAGCTAACAATTTAACATTAAAAAACAGTATAATACCCATGGGAGGGAGGGGGGTGGGTGGGCGTGGGATTACATTCAAATGTTTAGTCTGAGTGGCATTTCTGGGCCACTAGAAGTGCCATAGACATTAATTTTCGTCTGGATACAATCTCTACAATTTAGTTTCTGGGCCTCCTCTATTTCGAATTCCTTTATTTGGATCTGCCACTGATAAAAAGTAAAAAATAGAAACTATGTAGGGAACCACTACTTAGGCTACCTTCTACCTATATTATTGGGCCGTAGCTAGGGCCTAGCTAGGCTATTCCGCCTGGTGTCGGACTAGCACTTTTTTTTAATTTTGACAATGATTGTACTGTATTGTTTAATGATAGTATTAATAGGAAAAACCTATTTTGACGTCGTATCAAGCATACCAATTTTAATAGCACCGATAAATCAGAAAGTTGTATATTGTAATCACGTTCATATAACCGCCAAACGTTTCAAAAATCTTTGCGGAGACTATTGATCTTGAAAAATAATTCACAGGTTGTCAAGTGCCTCGGGAAGTGCCTCCGATTATGGATCAGGGGACCAAAGGCCTTGGTAAAAATGATTCTGTTCTCATGTTCTGAAAGATTAATTTTAGCGGTTTTCTATTATATCCTATAAAAGTAAGCAGAGCAAGGTCCTACCTTCAAACGATGACAATGAAATGTAAATTATTATGTTTTTGTATAATCCAGATACCTGAAGAGGCTCCTGGTAAAGCAGGGGCTGTATACAGTAAATGCAACACACCGAAACACTTAGCCATTGCAATCAACGTCGGAATGAGTAGGAAACAAGCAGTAAAAGTGATGTCAATATTAGCATATCATAGAACAAAAGTCCCGGTCACTGTGTTTGTGTACAGTGAGTTTGCTGAAGAATGGCCCGACCTTGTCAAATTCTGGGCAACAGTCTATAACATTGGACTACGTGGAAATCATCCATACCCAACCGGTCATTTTGAAATGATGGCTGCCAATTGGATTCGAGAAGCTGTAGTTAGTTCAGAAATGCGTCTTCGTGAACTTGACATAAACCCGATATTCTACTCCCCTAATGAATATGGCGAAAACGTTCAGCAGCAACTTAAACATAGGGGATTCAGAATCATCAAAGCAGCTGTGAACTTCCCGCCTAAATCAGGTGAGTAGATGTTTTGGTGCTTCCATGTCAATTATTATTCGCTTAAAAATTAAGGAATTGCTTAAATGCGACCTATAAAATAGCAATGGATGCCTTTCGTATAATTTAACCTAAGGTCTAAGCCTTAGAATTGATAAAGGGTAAAACCTGTTATCTGCTGTTTTTAATAATTTTTGAGACAAATCAACTACCATTTTTCTGTTGATTGACTCACTGGCCCTCTTAACACCTGGTTTTAAAAGGCATTTTAAATATCAATTCTTTGACAGAACCTCTACTAACTGTACAGAATTACTACAAATTTCGAGATGTTGAACGTGTCCCAAAAGCACTTAGAACAATCTCCAACAGGTTGCAGACAGCAGACGGTGGAATCCTAAGCCTTGACACAGACCTTCCCGATACCTACATGAATTTTGTTTTCTTGCTGGATTATTTAGTTGAAAAATCGGGTTATACATTGGTTTCGTTGAATGAATGTGTACGTTAAAAGAGGTAGTATTCGGGATCATGTATAATTACATAGTTCCCGGATGCTTGAGGAGTATAAAATTGGATCTCATTTTTTTTCTCAATAAAACGCATTTTGATATACTTATGGTTATGGGATGTTTTCAAACTGTAATACAATAGTCATACAATACATAGGATATATCTAATATCATTGTTAACGCTATGGTACACGTACATGTGCTAAGACTTTATAACTTACTGTTGAAAGACCTTGTCACTATACATTGGGTTTATTAGACCCATTCAATGAATCTGCTCAAACATTTAAACTCACTGATAAAGAAACCATGGAAGAACTTAGAAATAATTCAGAAAGTGCCTGCAAATCATGTTAGCACGTCATTATTATAATTATAAAGGTAAAGGAAGAAGAATAACCCATAACTCGCAGCTTCAATGTGCCGAATTGCGTATGAGCGTGGTCGTGACTACCAAGCGGAAGTAGAGAGGCAGGGGCTGTGAACCATAGCATCGGGGTAAGCCCTACTCTTTCGTGCAATAAGTTTTTAAAGAGCACACAGGCCAGGTATGTACACTGGACCTCAATTTTAAGTCATCCGAGAGACTTGGTTCTACCAACCCAACCCTGGGCGAGGAGCGGCTCGAACCAGCGCCGATGTTAAGGCTGTAGTTAGAGGCGCCCCTGCCTTACGGCTAGGCCACACGACTCGATAATGCGCTCACCATACGTGGTTTGAACCCTCTTAAAGTCCATAGAGAAAAAATGTGTCTAGATTAATAGATCACTCTAGCAAAAAGAAACTTAAACTTTATAAAAAATAATTAAAGTCGCAAAACCACATGGACAAAGAAAACCATGATAAATACAGTAACGTGTATAATACCAGCCGAACCATGGGCGAGGAGCGGCTCGAACCAGCGCCGATGTTAAGGCTGTAGTTAGAAGCGCCCTTGCCTTACGGCTAGGCCACTCGACTCGATAGTGCGCTCACAATACATGGTTTGAACCCTCTTAAAGTCCATAGAGAAAAAATGTGGCTAGATTAATAGATCACTCTAGCAAAAAGAAACTTAAACTTTATAAAAAATAATTAAAGTCGCAAAACCGGACAAAGAAAAATAATAAGTTATGTAAAAGGGCAAGAAGGGACTTCTATATATCCGGATTATCAAAATGCCATGGGGACATGAAAAAAAACCTGGGACACAAAAAACTCTGTTATAAATCCAAATAAGACTAAGCTAAAATTTCCCGATACCATTAAGCATAATGATGATACATTTACCGATCGTACTATAATACCAGAACAGTTCAATCATTATTTCATTAACATCGGACAACAATTATGCAAAGTTATAAACTCTAATGTCAGTCCATTACGTTATTTAAAAAACAGGCAAGCTAACTCATTCTACATTAAACCTGTTACAATTAAAGAAATATCTGATATAATCAGAAATCTAGACAACAATAAGAGTTCCGGATATGACAATATATCTCCAAAAATAATATAAGGGATTTCAAATATTATCGTAAGCCCCCTAGTCCACAATATAAACTGTTCCTTTGAAACTGGCATTGTTCCCGATAAACTAAAGATTCCTAAGGTTGTCCCTGTTTACAAAAAAGGAAAACATGATGAAATTACTGTTTTTTTTTAACTTTCAAAATTTAATAAATGGTTTAAAGCAAATAAACTTGTCTTAAATATAAATAAAACAAACTTTGTTATTTTCCAACCACAAAATGTATTAAAACAGTCACAAAATATCTTTATCAAAATAAATGGTATAAACCTAAAAAGAATGGATAGCGTCACATTCTTAGGTATTGTTATAAACGAAAATTTAAGCTGGAAACCCCACATTCAATATTTATGCAACAAAATATCTAAGGCCATTGGTATCATCTGTAAAGTAAAAAACATATTTCCTGTACATACACTAATAAGTTTATATAACGCCTTTATCTTGGGAACGTTATATAGGGAAATTACTACACACCACATATTGAAAAGTTATATAAGTTACAAAAATTAGCAGTTAGACTAATAACAAATTCACCCCGAGATACTAGATCACGTCCATTATTTAAACAATTTAATATGCTTACCATCTTTGATATAAATAAGGTAAAGGCAGTATGTTTTATTTCTAGATATCATCTCAGGCAATTACCCCCTCCCTTATGCGAAATCCTTGACGGTAATACAAAAAGTGAACGTGCAAAAGCCCTAAGAAATTCAAACAAAATGTATGTACCTTTTTCAAGACTGACATCCTGTCACATACCTATTTTTATTCACTTACCAAATATGTGGAATTAGCTATATGATAGCCTTTTAAAAATAAATTCGCAAAATTCGATCAAAAATAAATTGAAAGAGATGATATTCGATACTTGTTAAGGAAAACTTTTCTTGCTTTGCTCTTTTTTTTTTAAATTTATCTTTATAAAATTTCTTCATTTCTTGGGAGTCGTCCATGATCTCTGGCACTTTCCGGGGCAGTACACTGTCGGAGATGTCTTGGTGTTAGGCGCACGGTATTATTACTATGACGTGATGATCACTGAGGCATTTCCCCTTCCGGGAGGTGCCGGCAATTGTGGGCGATCATAAATTTAAAAATTAAAATGTTGATGCGTTTACTATGTATTCTGTGTGTGTATGTTTTGTATGTTTGGTATTCAAACTGACAAGCCACCGCTTCTTTTGATGACTTTGTAAACAATTTGCAATTTGTAATTTGTTGTGGAATTTTTCTGAATAAATGTATAAAATATTCTAAAAAAAAAAAAAGTCGGACCAAAAAAAAAAAAAAAAAAATTAAATAAGCCAAACTATGTCTTTCACACTGCTAAGTGCCATTTCCGGCCATCCAGACCTCCCTATTTTTTTAGAAAAATCTCATCTCCCAAACCCTCCCTCTCCTAAGTCATACAAGCTCAAGCCCCCTGTTGGACAGCTTATCCCCCCCCCCCTAGAAAAATTATCCGAGAGGAGCCACTGTCTAGGCCTTTAGGCCTATGCAGAATGTGTCCGCATGCTACTAAAGAATATGCCTAGGTTGTTATTTAATACATTACTTTATACATTACAAATTGCAATACAGACATTGGAGAGTTAATCGGGATATTTAATTTAATTAAATATTTAACATTCTGTTCCCCTTCTCTTTTTGTGTTATATAGCCGGCAATTTTGTGAAACATTAAAAAGTAATACATCTTAACTTCGGCAGTTATGTTGTAATAGAAGTTGTAATTTTAATTTATTAGGCCCATTTTCTCTTTTAGTACGATAATTTGTTTATGAGATTAGGTTGGAAAATCCACAGACTAAGCATAGTGTAGTACTAGTAGTATAGGCCATTGAATTGTTTTCATTTCTTTCTGTGATTACGGCCTAATCCCTACCGATAAAATCAGACTAACTAGGCCTATGTATTATTTTACTCTTTGTAGACCCCATAAATTAATAATGTTCCAGGGATCCTAATTTTGGAAAGAAAATTACACAGAGACAACTTATTTTTCTTACATTGGTTGTACCATGGATTTGGTTTGTTTTGCAATGGTTTGTGGTTAAAGACAGGGCCTACTCTATGTCGAGGACGGACTATAACTGAAAGACGAACTACAGTATAGCTGAAATTATGTATGACGTCAACATACGAAGCTACGGCTGAACCCGTTGTATTTAGCAACTACCCGATTTTTTTTTCTCGACGTCTCAGCCAAGTTCATTGGTGGCGCTATACTTTTATATGAATATTCATTAGGAAAGGGCTGCTTTCGCTTGCTCTCTGCCGCTAGAGTCTACAGCCATGGTTCTCACGAGAGCCCTAGTATCTGGATCGGGAGCTATCCGTTAGCGCTAACCGTTAGCACCTGCGTGAGAAGGCTCGATCGGTTAGCGCTAACCGATAGCGGTATCCGGATACGCTAACGGTTAGCAAGTTGAGGGCGTTTCTATCATCAACCAATCACACGTACACGTTTACAATTTCCAGTTTCTTATTGGCCAGTGATTCGATCATCATATTGTTGGTATCCGGATCGGGATTTTCTCGCATGGACGCACGACAGCTAACGGTTAGCAGGATCCGGATCCAGTGCAGATTTTTGTAATTTTGTATTTAATCCATCAACCTGTGTTCCTATAGTATAGAAATTATGAACATCAATGTTACTATTTTCCTTTTTTTCTAAAGGTGTTTGTCGGATAAGTGTTTTACATGATCACAGTCATACATAATCTAATGATATTAGGTGTGATCCATTTCATTTTATTTAGCTGAAGTAAACAAAACTAAATACGATAATTGTTGACATTGTTAATCTGATAATAAAAAGACATCATTTCAATAAATATCGAATGTGGTTTTCTTTGGTCAAAAGCAAATGTACCAAAATTATTATGAAATATTTGGATTTTAGTTTAAGTTTAATTAAGTTCAAATGATTGGTTTGATAATTATCAATAAATGTTATTATTACAATACTTTGGTAATTGGAATCATTTCAAGACCTGTTACTTTCGTATTCATCCCAAAGCCTTTCATTTTTCTTTCCCTTTTGCTTCTTTTCTTTCTTTCTTTTCCCTTCGAATGTTCCTGATGTGCTTTATTGTCAGTTCAGCCAATAGCCAGTGTAGCACGAATTTTTAGTTTCCGGCGAATTTTTATTTCGTGGTCTAGAAAGTCAGAGCCTATGGGACACTTTTCTTCCGGGGTAAACAATTATTGACCTTTAATTTATTTAACATTCAAGATTTTTCTCTCTTATAAAAGGTCAGGTAATTTCATCTTTAGAAAATAGGCCTACATAGAGAGAAAAAAAATCAAGGACATGGGCAATATATTATAACAACAATGTATATATTCCAACAATATTGAGTAGTTGGATACGTAGTCTTTCTTCCATGGATCGATGAACTGATAGACATGAAAAATGCACTTTCGTTCTTCTACTTTAGTAGAAGTGGTTGGCGCATCGGCGCGGATCCATGATTTTTCGTGACCTTCGCACAGATGGGCTGGTCCTTGTGGTGGATCCAGAAATTGGAAATACAGGGTGACCAGAGAGGGACCTTCACAGATAGACAATTTTTTTAGTTGTTTTTTTTCTCCATTCTTATAAAATGATTTTGAAATATTCACGGGGCAGGCCCGGGCCGAGGTTTCCTTTGAACCGGCCACTGTATGGGGAAATCCTACGCTTAGGTAACCTAGGGTTTTAAAACAAATACCGTATATAAGCCTACAAGGCTTAAAATAGCAAATTACGATCGAAAAAAGGGAGTCGTCTTATACACACGACATTCAAATTTTAGATTATATAATCATGTTTGTCTTACGTGCGGATCGTCCGTAACACGTGAACTTACTACTGTAATGAAGCAACTAAATGTTGTATGAATGAACGCAATTTAAAATACGGGAAAATACGATTTTGGTGGTAAAGATTTTAAAACTCATAAAATTGTATTATTTGGAAGATTACCCTTGCATTTGGCTCTATTTATCATTTTAGATGCAGTATCAGGACCACAACAAATTAGGAATTCCGACTATGAAACAGGGGATCGTCTTATACGCCCGACATACAAATATCAACCAAAAATCTTCTAAAACTCGGGGGTCGTCTTATACGCGGGTCACCTTATAGGACTTACGCGAGTATATACAGTATTCCTTATTATGGAATTTCTATAAAAAGATAAATAAACATGTTCTTGAGAGATAGGACTTAATGGTTGTTGTACAAGATTTCTCAGACACGCCTTGAATATCAACTATAAACAACATATTATGTAGGGAGATATTTTCCCCTGTATATAAAGAACTTTGAGGGCAGGAAGGTTAGCATTTGCTGGACATTACTACAGAAGTAAAAATGAAGTTTTTTCAATAATTCTCTTTTGGGAACCATCCCATGGGAAAAATAAGCATGGACGGCCCCGACTACACACATCGAACAATTAGAAAAGGATCTACTGTAAACACACAGTGGCAGTATTGAGTGTTGTAACACTAGGGACTGGGCCCTGTGGTTTTCTGAGACTAGGGGCTCTTTTCCGGTCGCGGTCGCTAATTTCGTTGTGGGGTTAAAGCTACGTTCACATCAAGCCCGGATTCCGGTCCGGAGTCCGGAGAAAAAATCGTGAGAAATGGCTTTAGTGGTAAAGAATAGAAGCGTTCACATTTACACTGTCAGATTTTTTCCCCGGACTCCGGATTCGGAGCAATGGATCAGAAAGCCATCGGAAACGTGAATCCGAACGGATTTTTATTTCTGGCCAATCAGCGATAAGCTTGAATGACCCCAACGCTAGCTCGCTCGCTCCTGAACTGAAAAGCTCGAAAAAAGTCAGCGCGAGAAAAGATACTGTGTGCCGTGCCGGGATTTGTTTTTGCTTTTTAATTTTATTATTTAATCAAACAACATTCAATAAAAAAGATAAGTATATTTCTAGTTTTCGTATTAAAAATAAAGTTAAATGAACTTCTCAGCTCTCTACTTGCCTTAGGCCATAGCCTAGGCCATGTATGTAGGTCTAGGCTCTAGCCTACTAGAGAGCGTTTATCCGGCCCAGCCTAGGGGCCCTAGACTAGCTTAGCTAGTCAAAAAAAAACACGACAGCAGCAGTTGCTAGCCAAGTTGCGCATTTCCTGCAGACAGACGATAAACCCCACGGCACTAGCCTAGGCTCGATTCCTAGATAGCAGAGGGGTGAGGTGAGGGCCTATCGTCTGTTTATCAACATATATTTTTATTTCAAATGGTTGGTTTTCCATCTTTTTTCCCTTGAAAAGCTCAGGATTTCTTGCAAATATGTTTACTGGTACAACAAAAACATATTTTTTTTAAATATAAATTTGATTGCATTATGACTTTTTATATGTGTCCCTAACCATCGACTTGTGAACATCGGTAAAATGGAGGCAGAGTTCGCAAAAAAAAACCAAAAAAAAAAACAAAACAAAACAAAAAAACAAAAACCTCCCTCCCTCATCAGTCTTTTCTTTGATACTTTGATTTGATAGGGTCATAAACAAATAATTTTTTATGGGGCCTAACCTGGCAGATAAACACTACAACAAGGATACCAGCCGGGAAAAATGATGTGTGGGAGGGAAATATATAATGCTTATATCAGACGTAGCCTGAGATTTAACTTGGCCTGGTCATTACTAGGCTCTATGAAAGGAACATGTTTTGGCAGAGTCTACTCTCAATGTATCACCATAAAAATTATAATTAGTGTAGCTTAATACTGAATAACAAATTGTAGTTATTGAAACAGTGGATGAACGATGCAAATTATAAATTACATACCCAAATTATTTATACAAGTAACAATAATTGATAAAATTATTAATTTTATTTTATTTATCATTGTTTAGCCAGTTCATAGTTTGCTGAGCAAATTATACTGACTAGTAATAAAATTCACACGAGCAGTACAATATTTACAATTTAAAAAAATTCAAAGATTCCAACTCATTGAAAAACTGAAAGAGAAACAATGAATTATTTTTTTGAGAACTAATAATTTATTATAAAAACTTTATAGGCATAAAAACTTTATGACTATGTGATGCAGTATTTGAAAAATATTTTATTGTATTA